TGTGTTTCAGTGTTCCAAGGTCAGGGCAAAGGTCAATGTTGCTATATATAGAAACTCATCAACTGATTCAATTTAAACTCTTATCAACTTCATCCAATATGTTACGGAGATGGTAATAACATACAGAAAAAAACCATATGAATATTAAAGTCAACTTATCAACTTTAAGTGTAGAACCTTGTGTGTGTACATACATGGACTTTATGCAGTGTAATAAAATGTTTGCTTAACCTTTTGAATAGCTTTTCAGCCTTTGATATCAAAGGTCAAGGTCACTTACTATAAATAGAGCATCAGTTTGTGCACTGTATTTCGAATTCTGTTGGACTGATTACACTCAGATTTTATCTAGTCCTTCCTGGAAGAACGTGCCTGCTTGGGATAACTTTTCAGGTCCAGTGGTCAAAGGTCAATGGGTCACTATAAATAGAAAATTTGTTTAATGCACTAATGCACAAGATCTTGATTTCTCTTGGGCTGATTACACTCTTGACTTTATACAATGCTTCCTCAAAGAAAGCGCCTGCTTGGGATAACTTTCCAGGCCCGGGTGTTAGGTCTCTATCACTGTTACTATATGAATAGAGAATCAGTTTATAAAATGCACTACTGATATTTTGAGTTCTGTTGGGCTGATTACACTCAAGACTTTATCTATTGCTTTTATAAAAACAAAAACAAAACAAAAAACACTTTCTTTCACTAGTGTTTGCTACTTGTATACCTAACCACAGTTTCTTTTAAATCTTCAATAAACATAATTATGGAGAATAGTTACGGCGGCATTTAAAATATATATCTAAATAAATCTTATTACCGGTTAGCTTGTAATAAATAATAATAATAATAAACTTTATTTATTGAGGATAAAATACATGTTTAGCCAAAGGCTAATCTTCCACATGGTCCTCTTGTTAGTAAAATACATGTGTTAGATAAAATAACATATTATCGCAATCGATATATAAATAAACATGGTATTCTTGCTAATAAAATGCATGTGCTAGGTAGAAGTTACATATACATTGATGCAATCGACATATATAAGGTTATATCACAGTTATCTTAGTTAAGAGTATCACAGAATGCATAAAGTTTCATGCAAAGGTATTTCATCAATTAAATGGCATGTGCCTAATATACATACATGCTAATATAGCAAACAATAAAAATTTGCATAGTTATACGCTAATATAGCATAATCTAAAATATTGATATAATTTAGATAAGCCTATTTAGAAAGTAACAAGTTTTGTTACATGGAGAAACAAATTAAAATCTAAGACATTGCTATACAGTATTTAGTAAGTTTTCGTTTGAAAGTGGTAAAATTGTTTTTTTTCTTTAGATCACTGGGTAAAATATTCCAGTGGTTAATACTGTCAATAAGAAAGTGTCAGGAATAAAAAAAAACAACAGTTCTATGTTTTGGTACTTTAAAATTAAGTTCAAACACTTGCCTAGAAGGTGTGTCAAATGGTACAAAGCAGCTTGCCCATTAATTTTTCGCGTACACCCTGACCATACCGTACTGCAATACATAAAATGTTGGAAAACGCAAGAATTTAAATTTCAGCTTTCCTTCCGTAGGTAGATATTGGTTTAAACGTCTCAATAACCCTAACCTTTGCCTTATTCTAGATAAACAGATGTAACAATATGTACACCAAGTCAATCCATTAACAATATGTACACCAAGTCAATCCATTAACAATATGTACACCAAGCAGGTTTCCACTGCAAACTTGTTCAATGGGTTCATTGCACATAAATAATTCTAAATTTAAACAGGTTCTTTTTTGCTTTTGTTTTGAGGCAATGCACGTACACTTTGTTTTCTTGACATTTATCATCATTTTATTTTCTATACACCATTCACTAACATTGTCTAAATCAGATTGCAATAGACTGTTGATGTTATCTAACGACTTATCAACAGCAGATAAGGTAGAGTCGTCTGCATACATATCAGTGTCAGATACAACATGTAGGAGCAAGTCTTTTATAAAATTAAAATCATAAGAGGACCAAGAATTGATCCTTGAGGTACACCATGTGTAATTATACGGCCTTTTGACATATGACCTGCAAGAGATACTACTTGAGACAACTAAAATATAAATATTGTGTGTAAAATCCATTAGCTTACAGTCAGCTTATAAAAGAATAATACTTCAAAAATATTGGCGTACTTTTGGAAAGGATCGAATTTCCTGCAGTTTTGATACAGGGCGGCGGCCCAGGGGTATACCAAGTTACTGTTTACAGTATCGCATGTACTAAAAATACAGAAGTATAGAAGTAAATAAATACATATTCACAAAAACAATACCTAAAACTGTGTATGAACGGTTTTTTACATTGTACATTTTTTTTTTAATTTTCTTCACATCACATTTTAATCAGTTTTGTCCTATATGTGAAATCAATTCGTGTTACATTTGTAGGTATGATAATAATTTCCAGAGTTAAGTAGAAATCAGTAGCTAACTATCTCTCTCATATGACACCAGACACACTGTCAACCACCTCGTAAGTTTTGTTCGTCATTGCCATCGTCATTTATGACTCTGTTGGAAGCTATAAAAAGACGTTGATTGGTGCAAACTTTATATCACGTGGCAATGCTCGTGATTCGAATGTGCGCAGGGACTTGTAAACATCGCGTCATATGATACCGATACAAATTAGGATGTCACAGACTTGTACGAACGTCTGTACTAATGATGAATTATTGCCATGTTTACTCGTTTCAAAGAGGGTTTATATACCTTGATAAGGATATACAGATTACGCCTACATGGCCATGTGTAGCGACAGCAGTGCTATCTTTGTGACTTAATTTACATGATCACAAGATAACATTGCTGTTATTAGGAAAAGATTAAAAAGATGGAAACTGTAACAATATACATGTAACATTGCTTGTTTAATCGCAGTTGAGGGGTTAGTCACATTGCTATTCTTCATGGAACAATTTGGACAATTTTGATTGACTTTTTCTCAAAAAATAAAAACAGCCTTCGAACTGTAGATACGTCAGCAGTTTGATGTCCGTAGTTTGGCACTTGTAGTGCATTCCAATATGACACGCTGATTCTCAACCAGCAACGCTTTCTTTATCACAACGCCAAATTGTTCTCACTCACAACACCATTGAGACGCCCACTAAGTGATCTGAGTCTGGTTAGGCTTTAAATCATTGTTTAAAAAACTGATTGTAACGTTTGCATGTGTTAAACAACGTGTTCTTTTCTCAAATCTGATTATCTCTTGGTTCCTGTTCCAAGAATTTCACTCTAAGGATACTAAATAATATTGCTACATATCTCTTTCTGATAACAATACCGCGGTGCGCCAAACGCATTTCTCGGAGTTTCAGGACATTCCCTCAAGTAAGATTGTTCTTCTACATTTGTTTAATAATTCATCGCAATCTCTCAAAAGGATGAATGGATGTTTGTGTTAAAGAATCTCTCTAGTTCCATGTGGGCCCCCTTACCCACAGCCTACACATGTCAAAACACCATTCTCATCTCCTTTAGAGGCAATAATCCGATTCCTGTAAGCAATTGCCATTTGCTCAATGTTCGGTATGGGTACTAAATCGCTGTTAGTGTTTTTCGTTTCTGTTAGTGCTTCTCTATACGGCTGTCCCAAGCAGGATCTGCTCTCTAATCAATCAGAGGCTATATCTACATGGCGAGTAAAAAAACGGTTTTATTAAAATGGTTTTGTTGATGATAGAACATAGTAGGTAAACAGGTACGTGTACGTATTGAAGGCAGTGCTTGTTACGACATTAACGAAACAGCAAAGTTTTGTTACGGTAATATTGATATTATCTTTTCGAAAGTATAGTAATATATAGTTTTGTTGTAGAGATAATTAATTGCTTTGGTTAGAAAAGGAGATTTAGTCTAATTCTTTGTATTTGAAAAGCAGAGAGCAATTCAAATCTTTCAAGACGGCAGTTTGTTTTCGTATGAAGCCATCACAGTAGTCTCGTATGCTATATAAATCGTCTTGTGGTATGTTAAAATCACTAAATTGTAATTTTTCAACGCGTCACGACAACTTTGTTGGCACAAAACCATTAAGAAATGCAAGGAAAGTGAAAACTGCCTGAATTTTCAACATATGACAATCTTATACAAATAGTAGTGTTAGCATTAACTACAGCTGGTATGTATTTCAATATCGAAAAACCAATCCATTACTTTAAATGGTAATCCATCACATGTGATTTACATTATAACCAATTGGAATAATGCAACCCTACAGAATATTTCTGTGTGTGCTTGTAAACATTGATGGTTTTATATAATTACAATTCATAGGATTTTTTTTCAGGAAACAAAATTAATTAATAAATTAAAATATCTCACAGTTCTATGTTCAATCATCATGTGTACATGTCTCCGCTGTACTGAGTTGGGGAACCCTATACTTTTACAATGACAAAACACCATTGGCTGTGTCGCATTTCTTCAATGAGCTACCAGCGTTCTGTATTTTACCGATTGCCTAATTTTCTAACGAGTGTTGTGTATATCGCAGATAAAACTTACAATGTAGATAGATTTGTTTCTTTTTAAAATAAAGTTCACGAACACGTTTTCTTTTTCTTAACCAGAACTGAACATAGATTTTATAAGCTTATTTTACAGGGGTAAAGGTGATTATAAGGTCTCGTGGTTGCCAAATGGTTGAGGCGTCTGACATTCTGCTACCACTAGCCCTCCATCACTGGGTCGCAAGTTCGAGGCATATGTTGGGCAGTTACCAGGTACTGGCCGTAGGTCTGTGGTTTCTCTCCGGGAACTCTGGCTTTCCTCCACCACCAAAACCTGGCACGTCCTTAAATGACCAAAGCTGTTAATAGGACGTAACACACAAACGAATCAAACCAAACGGTTGGTTGGTTAGTTGTATAGGGTTTAACGGGTCAAATCGTGTAAAAGGTTTGGATGGCTTATCTCTCATTGTTTTTGTTTAAGGTGCGTGTTCCGAGAGTATCATGGTGGAAGGCGTTGGCTACGCCCGTCATCCTACAGAATGTGAGAAGTTCATCCAGTGCTTCCTAAAGGAGAGTGGGGTGTGGTACAACAAGGTCCAGTCCTGTGGGGTGGGCGAATTCTGGGACCACGCCCTCCTGGCATGTCGAATAGCTGAAGTAGTTGACTGTCCAAACGGTAGGTACGACATACATATGAATATATATCAATGAGGCACATGGATCACGTAGACAATATACATCAGGCTCTCCTGGGAGGGTAAACTTTTCAGGCGTCCCGAAGGTATTTCGCTAGAAGGAATTTACTTTTTGTATTATTTTCTACACGTTGGAGTTAAACGACAACCTAATGGAATTCCACTATCATTGGGTATACGCATATAGCTGCTTTTCAAATTAATGACAATTGGAAGATAACGTCAGGAAGATATAGGATCAAACGAAACGCTATATCAACGAATTGATATACTATACTTTAAAACATCATACTGTGTTGCTAAAAAGTCTAGATCTAACTTCACTTTTTGATCTTTAACAAATAAAAACAGGCACTGCGTGGAGTATTATATGTGGTTTTACCGTGTTGGCTTGTGTGTGGGCTATTGGAACGCTCTAGTGTGGGCTGCGGTACCGGTGTGGTCTTTCCAGTATGTTAGACTAAAATTCATAAACTTTTGCAAAAGTTTCCGTACTCCATAAAATACCCGTATGATTAACGTTTGGGCTATGGGAATGGTATAATTGTTACGTCCCAATATGTTCCTTCATAGAACTTGTGGTTCTTTCTTCCAACAAAATTTCCGATAATAATTTTGGAACATCTTTAAAAAGGATATTTTTATATCGGAATAAATGTGACTGTCATATATGTCCAGGTATCTTAACTATACCACAGTGATCAGCTGATGAAATGGTGGCCGCCGTACGCTATGTAGATAAGTATAGAGTAAGTTATAATAATGATTCATTCTACAAGAAACATGTTTTAGGTTAACAATGAGGAAAACATATAGGATCTTTTAAATACTTTGACTCTATTAAAACGAAAGTTTTGGACTGAATTGATTATTGAGTATACTTTGCTAGCTCTTTCTATGGTATATTTATGCATAATAAATAATTTCACGATTATGTAAAAGAAAGGTGTCATATTCAGCCCCTAGTACTAATTGTAGGTGTTGGGCAGACATTTTATCACAGTTTGGTAAGTAATGACAGCCTAGTATTAACTCCTTCTTTGTGGCGGGAATTAAAATTCTATCCTTTTATAAACTAACAATTATGGTGTCGTTTCAATTTCAATTTGTTTCAAATTTTGATAAGTGAACGCGTTTTAAGCGCGATAAATACATTTTCTTTGTATAACCAAAAAACTTATTAAAATATAATGTAATATATTAACTGTTTTTTTTGTCTTCTTATAGATTAACATTGAGATTTGGTGTGTATAAACATTAAAATGTCTTAGTAGAGCTGGAAAGATTTACAATCTTAATGCAAGCGAAATTTAATACAGAGAGAAATTGTAAATTCGGTTCTTTCTGAAAATGAAATTTGACATAAAAATGGTTTTAATGAGTTTTGGAGTTTAAAATTACACCAATATGGTCTAGAAGAGACAATCTCTGCTGAAATTCCTGACAGTCGGGCTGTTTTACGAGAGTTCTGCTGCCAAAATTGTCTTTTAGGGGTTTATTATTAATTAAGAAGAATACCGGTTCCAGAATAACAGATAATACTTCAAAAAACAGGATTTGGCTAGAATGCCTCTGATCTGCTAGTGCAGCCATAGAAATTAGCATCATCACGCACACAAGTAGTCGGCGATGTTCGAATTTTATTGTTATTTTTTTTATATGCTTATTAATTTTCGTGTTTCTTCATTTTGTTTGCTGATAAATTTTATTTTGGATATTTCGTTTCCCTGATAAAATAAGTGACCAAATCATCCTACCATCATTTTCTCTCTAATCAAGTGAGACACATTCATTTCAGATAGGTGCAAGGACCCATCCGTGACGTCAGTGCCTCACTCTGACAATTGTAGGGCGTACTACCATTGTGAGACGGGCCGTTCCGTAGGACAGTGCTGTCCAAATGGGTCATCCTTCGTTTCAGAACGAGGCTGTGTAAACCATACCACGTGTTCTCAGGAATGTCAACTGGAAGTGATACCAAAACCAGGTATGAACAGGGTGTTTGTATCTGTAATACGTATTAAACTGAGTTCCACACGGTCACTATGATTTGGTGATTTGGTGTCGACACTGGCCTTCAGCGGTCACACAGTAGCTAGCATTACTCATTATAGTTATATATGCTTAATTGCCTCTACCACTTACACTTAGACACCAGTTTTGTTACATTCAGATATATCGACATTCGGCAGCTCGCATTAACACAATTATACGTATATATCGGCACTTGAGAAATTGTTCTCGTAACATAAGGTCTAATTTGGAGTTCCTTTGCTGTTGAAGAACTACATGTATAGGCCGTGTCAACTCTTTCCTCTCCGACTCGCCCTGACCGGAACGACTGTCGCATTTGAAGGATTGATACCAGCACGGCGGGGCCTCGAAAAGATCGTAATAGGACTCCACAGACATCCTCTGATCAATCAGGTCACGCCCTACTGTGACGTCTGTTTCCCCAGTGTAGGTGTCTTAGACAAATCTGGGATATATTACTCGGTCGATCTGTGATATTTCCTGAAATTCATCCCAGTGTGGCAGTATTTGGGTTTCGGGTGTGGCTCTTGGGAAATGTGTCCAGCTATACTGGGAAGTCAGAGACGGTTTGTGACACCCGGTTGATCACAAATCAGAGAGAGTGTATTTTAATGGTGACATGGTGCCAACCTTGCTACATCAAACTCTGTGTGTTAGTCTGATCTCCGGTGGCAGAACCTGTCAACACGAATTTACAGATGTATAGGACTGTGCGGCTACGCAGCTTATATAGTGTTCTTTTTATTGCAATCCGTTCAATATCTCTGAAATTGTTCAACGCATATTATAGTATTACCACCACAGTTTACCAGTAGGTACGGTTGCCCAAATGGCCAACAATCCCCTTACATGTATTTCTCGAAATCCAGGTATTCCCGTTATTCATTGTAATTCTAGAATTTGTAAAAATATTTGAACAAAACCCGAACTGTGGTGGACCACTGTGTTGTATACGATGGCTAGAATGAAAGAAATATGGGAGCCATTTGACCAACAGTTCACGGAGGAATCGTTACTGAGAGTCGCGCAAAATGCTTCAGTTATCAGACACTGCGACCTTTTTTAAGAAATAATCAATATAAATAAAGAAGGCCGCTTCAGCCTCACTACGAATGTAGCCAGTTGTACTATTCTGCTATTTTAGCCATCTCGTTCAAAAGCAGTTAATCACGTTTCAAGTTTTACTTCTGCAATAAGGGGAATTGTTTTAGAATAGTATGCATGTGCGTATATTCGGGCAAATAGAACTTGCAAACGTGTGTCCATCTTTAATTATACATGATTATCAACCAATGAAAAATAAAGCAAGGTAACATCAATGACGTGGCAGCATTAATCAACAAAAAGATATCTACATGTCATAATATATTTTATGACTTATATCAGCATTTTACTTTTTCAGTTACTAACTAAGTAACTCTTCTTGTCAATTTGGCGGAGATTCATGGAATTGTAAGGAACAGTTGTCTCTTTCATAGTACATGTACATGTATGTTATAGTTGTGCGAGATATTACAATCCCGTATATAATCTTACGACCCCGTAATACACTAGATCGAGGTCATGACCTCATATTTTCTCAAATCCATATCACCACTCAGTCCTGCAAGATTTCGAGGTGATGGACACTTGTTAAACATATCGAGGTCAGGACCTGCTGTAGTACATGTATATCGAGGTCAAGGCATCAAGAAATATATGGAGGTCGCGAGCCTTGTAATATTATATCTAGGCCACAACTTCTTGCTATATTAGATCAAAGTCACAACTTCTTGCTTTATTAGATCGAGGTCACAACTTCTAGCTATAGTAGATCAAAGTCACAACTTCTTGCTATATTAGATCGAGGTCATGACTTCTTGCTTTATTAGATCGAGGTCATGACTTCTTGCTATATTAGATCGAGGTCATGACTTCTTGCTATATTAGATCTAGGTCACAACTTCTTGCTATATTAGATCAAAGTCACAACTTCTTGCTTTATTAGATCGAGGTCACAACTTCTAGCTATAGTAGATCAAAGTCACAACTTCTTGCTATATTAGATCGAGGTCATGACTTCTTGCTTTATTAGATCGAGGTCATGACTTCTTGCTATATTAGATCGAGGTCATGACTTCTTGCCATATATTATATCGAGATCACAAATAATTGTTTTCGAGGTCACGATCTCCTGCAATATATCGAGATTACGACTTCTTGAATGATATGGAGGTCACTACTGCTTATATCATATCGTACTGTACGATACGTTCTCGAACATTACATAAAAGTTTTCTAAAACGAAGGCAAAAACATGCATATACTTGTATATCGAAATGTTTATTTGGACGGTTACATCTACTTCACAGAATTATAGTAATATGGCAAAACGTATCGCTTTGTATTGACGAAAATATTCTACAGGCCATGACGTCACATACGTCATCGCTTCACGTAGGTAATAATTCCTTTTAGATTTTAAGGGGTTATAAGAGACAAAAGAAATCATTAAACAAATGTAGACAATCAAAAGGAAAATTGCTTCTCAGCACAAGAATGAGGATCTGCATGTGGTTTGCATTGAGAATGTCATTGTAAAGAAATAAAGATGTTCAGCATACATTTTTTGAAATTTCAATTAATTTACATGCATTTCATAGCAACAATCAATAGTTTGTGCACAGTAGCTACATGTAGTCAAGGATATAGAAACGCGTAATTATTATCTGAGCTTTTATTCTATGAGCTCTTGCTCTTAAACATTTGAAAGATGTTTTACGAGGCTTCTTTAATCCCAGAGTATGTCCTTGTTAACTAGTGTTAAGGGTCTTACAGGCAAAACAGCACGCCATCCATCAAACATCTCCCCTACATACAGCAATAAAAACCGCTCTCACAGTCTTCACAATATATATGAGAGAGCGCGGAACACAGAGTGCTTTCAGGGCCGATCAGATCAATTTGTTTGCTGGATTATCCTCGTTTTCTATTCATTCTTGACTTAAAAAAGAACATACGTTGAAAATTCAAATCTTCTGGAACTTTTAATAACTGCCTTGATACTTTTAACTCTTGAATATGCGGTTAAAATGGTTTGAAATGGCAAATGCTACATACGAACACGTGAAAAAAAGATTGCCCCTACACCCACAACACAAAATGGTAGCCATAGTGATGTTCTGTAGTGTTATCTATAAAGAATCAATGTACTGTTCTGTAATCATCAATGTTTTGTTTTCCTGTGTACACACGTGTGCTCGCTGATGGTATGGAGCAGACGTATCGAACCGTAGTACGGTCACTCCTAATCCCACACTGACACGCAGCTATTCACTGAAAGTATATATATATGTGACATACATTACAGGCTTCTGTGACAGAGCGCCTGTGTTTGGCAGACCGAAAGTCTACAGTCAATACGTCGGCACCGGATCGTTCTGGATAGAGATGCTCTGCGCAAACGGAAGTTGGTACAACGACCGGAAATGCGGCTGTTTTGAGAAGATAATGAAACCGTGGGACACTGAAATTAACAACAGAAATTCCAGTAAGGACACACAAACACATAGTAATGTGGGCAAAATCTAATAGTGCAAAATGATTTTCTTTACTTTTCACTCAAACCCTATAAGTTCAGTTTTTATCGAACTGATTCTGTTTGTATGGGTTCTGTTTATTTCCAGGCAAATGTCAACTTGAACATTTAAATACTAGTTATCGCTTACAAATATTTTAAAGTTTCATTAGACATATCTTAATCAGATTTAAACGAGGAGCCGCACCGAGTATTCTGATTTAATTGAATTTACTCTGAATCCTCGATCGACAGCAGATAGCAGCAGCTGTAGGAAAGAAATAGCCTTCAATTCCTAATTTCGTCATTTATTGTAGAAAACAGAGATGCGATATTGATTCCCATTGTATTTCAATGTCTTCCCAGATAATACATTCGATTTTCCGTAATGTTTTCTAATTGCAACAGTGCATCATTGACAGTACTAATGGTAAAATCGAAGATGTTACTTAAATGACAAAAACGGGTTTGTATAAGATCTATAAAGTACAGAAGGATGTTAAAATAACGAGAACACTTTAAAACGTACCCCAATTACACAGACGACAATTGGACTCGTAAATATTTTGCGCTAGTTTTTGTGTGTAAATTACTCTTTAGTAGTATACGCATGTTTCCCGTCAACAATTGAGAATTCGAAACGTAAGAATTAAACCCGCGGGTTGTGTAACGAAGGTTAAAGTCGTTTATTACCATTAAGTTTATATAATCTTAGGACGTAAAAACGTGTAACTCGCCGGAGTAAATTGCCGGAATTGTGGAGCTCTAGCAATAAATAGTTCGTAGTATGCAAGCACAATGAGAGAAATCTAAATTAACTAGATTTGAGAAATCGTATATCTTTTTAATTTCGTGCTTTGCGTGCATATGTATAGACAAAATGTGCTCTATAACGAGGGCCTTCCGATCAAGACCAAGCAAAATTGCGTACTCCCATTAATAACATCAGGAACAGACTTAGATGGGATGCCGATATTTTATCAATTTATATCAATTAGCATAGCGTGTGTTAAGCCTCGAATGGAGATGGTGTGACAATAAATTGGTTTGTCATCTTTGAAAATGTTGTTGGACGGTGATTACACACGAACGGGTGTTAAAATTGAGTGTAATTGATACCATGTCATTTTATCTACATTGTGCTCATCAATACTTTTAAAATTAATGATGGTACAAAAATTAAGACATTTGGCTGGAAATGGAAATTTGCGTAAGAAATAGGCGTTTGGGACATTTATCACTAGGCACATTAACTTGTGTCCCAGGAGATGGTGTGGCTCGCCTTGTCTCGTTCGGATACCATCGGAGTTTCCTACCGTCGACTTGTTTAAAGGCAAGACGTAACGCCGTAACAGGCAACATACACTGCTATTTAGATAAGCAATAAACATACAATAACACGAAACCTACAATATCTCTTTGAAAAAATAAACCTACAATATTAGATCATAGTAAAATACAATCTATTATTTTAAGAACGATAAACGCAATATTATGTAAATAAAGGACCGTAAACATGTACTGTTATTTGAAATAGAAACGATCAAAATAAATATTATATCACTTTGCTACCCTTTACAGTCTGTAGGCCGGAAGTCTACCTACCTTTCTGTGGCGGACTAATGGACCAATCTGGACATGACAACGTCATCGAGAACGAGGGTGACCGCGTTTTTGTCATTGACGGGAAGGCTTATTTCAACGGTCACTCCACTCTCTATATTCCAAGCTTCTCGGACGCTCACTACGGAGACTCGGTCGTCATCAAGCTCAAGTGAGTACAGCTATCGTTACACACGGGAATGTTGTCGTATTCCACATCCCGTAAGTTTATTTTTACTTACGGAATGTTGTCGCCAAACCAAAGGTTAGTAAGTATCTAGTTATAGGCAGGAAGTTGACTGATCAACATCAGTGTGTTTGCATGGTAACATGCTCAATGGTTTTCTCATCACGCTAAACGCAGTATTAAATTAAAATGTTACAAATACACTATCAAGCATCGGAAGCAAGGCGAGGTGAAGGTTAAGAATCATCTCTAAGAAGTGACGAAACGGCTACAACGATGTCATCTTAAATGAGCATATGATTATGAACCAATGTGTATGTTAGGGTTGACTTCATATACTGTTTGTTACTAACTTATTTTGGTAGATATGATGAACGTTTCTATTTTCGGTATACGACTTGAAATATTCACTGCGAGTTCACGCGAGATCACGCGTTTCTTTTCATCATTCGTGCAGCTATCTATCGAATTCGATAAAGTTCTTAACTTCTAGGAAAGAAAATCTAACAGCACATTGTATAATTTTAAAGTTCACTATTGACGGAGATCAGGGGAAACTAGTAGATTCACACTACTACTCCAGTGCGATGTGTTTAACTATTTAACATGATTGCTTTTCCAATCCCTAGGTATAAGATGGCAAACAGAACACCAGAGGGGGGAGGTGACCACACAGAGCAATATGGTGACTTCGACTACTACAACTCAAACGATGAAAGCTACGGGTTTAACGATGAGTATGACCAAGACGAGGACGACAAACTTTACCGCACAATGGCGCTCGTCTCCAATGGCGACTGTGACAACGACTACACGTGGTCTGGTTCGTGTTACGAGAACCCAACCATCACTATTGCGACGAATAGACGGACAACCATCTTTGACGTCCAAACGTCCGAGGACGAGCACGAAACGCAGATGGAGGTGCACAAAAAACACGATAAAACCCTTCACGATGACGTGGATTATTATGATGACGAATATTACTCCTATCTGTTTGAGAACAGGTTCCACGACGACTCCAACAACTGTACCAACGACACGTGGGTAGGTGTTGATGCTCGTGCCGAAGAACTTAGATTTTATGAGTCCTTTTTTATATGCATGCTTTCTCTATTTTCCTTTTTCTTCTGAAGAGTAAAACAAAATGTTATAAGTTTGTTACAGTCAGGATTGCGGTTGAGATGTTTGTTGGTTAGAGATGTTTGTTGGTTACAATTAGGATCTATTTCAAACTAAGGCATTTTATGACACGAAGGGTTCTAACTTTGCGTTGATGTTGTGTCAAAACAACGACGAGTGTATGATATTTTAAGTAAATATACCGGCTCATCCTCCAGTGGCAATTATGAAATTCCACTCAGACTCTTTGAATACTTGTTGGTTTTTGAAATGAAAATGATTTTCCTTTAAAACATGGTGAAATGAAATATTTCTTGCAAGTCCCTCTAATGCACATATCGGATACATATCTGATTTTGTTGCAAGAGTAGTTAAGACCAATTTCTATGTTTTGACCCCTATCATTACAGATGAGTCAGAGAAGAACGAAACAGCTGTAGGATGCAGTATACAATGTATTTCATTTTTTGCACAATTTTGCAATCACCTGTGTGTTTGCTACGTCCATCTTTGAGCATTGAATATATTTTCAGCTTGAAAAAAGTAAGATAAGACTATGCCAAACATAAAGTAAGAAAAGTGTAGGATGCAGTCAGTGTCAATTCACACCGCCATTTACCTAGCATCACCGATGAATCCTAGAAGGACGAAACAGCTGTATGATGCAGTGCGTTTCATGTTTGGCATACTGTATCTATTTCCAAACTTGATGGGTGCAATCAACTATTACTCATACTCTGTGTAATAATAACGACGGAATAACATGTTTAACTTAACTATAAAAACCTCAGATAGTGTCGTTTTTAGGGATAAAATCATTAATAATGTTTAAATTGAACCATATTCTACACAGGACATTGTTTTTATTGACAATGTGTCTAAATTCTAAATTTGACATCTCCACAGGATGACGAATGGCGGACTGTAATGTTCCTGGTCCATAACAATACATTCAGCGTTTACGACAACAACCTTCACGACCAAAGTCCAGTTTCTGGTAATGTTACTGACACGGAAACATAATTCCCATTAAACTCGTTGAATAATTATACGATAAAAGGAAACGGAGTATGTTTAGATATGATCAAATAAATACATCGTTAAAGAGTATTTGTTAAAAAATGATCCTGTAATAAAATAATTTTAATCTCAAAGTAAAGCAGGTTATTAGCGTTATCAAACTTGATCAATGATGTTCAACATCTCTCGCATTGAGGTTCGTTTTCTGAATATCTATAAAGTAAAGTATAATCAATGTCTTCTTCAGTTAAACCTTCGCTTCGCCAATTTACTATATTATTAATGAAACATTATCAATAAGTTTCCTGGTATCACAAGCCCTGTTTTGATATGTTGATTTGATGGATACCCACATCAGATAGCCTATCTACATTTAGCATCATTTCACAACTGTACTTTAATCCATAACAACAATTGTACTTTGTTTATCCGCATCCCAGTTTATTACAATACATTGATCAAGGACCCCTGTCCCACCGCTCTGTAGTTTGTCGTATGCAGTAACCTCCCCTTAATACCGTTTGTGAACACTTCCGAAGACCAGGGGGTTTGCACTCCGATCTAGACCCGCTGGACAGTTTCCACTCAGAACAATGCTGTTGAATATATTTAGTTTATTTCATCTTTAGTATTTCTCACAAAAGTTCCGCCAGGTTTGATTTCTTTTCAGAAATGATTTATCAAAGCTATAGTCATGGTAAAAAATTGGTATTTGTACCGGGATCATTAACGTTGTTGACAGGCTAATGGTTACCTTAGTGATCTGGTGTAGGCTGTGTGTATTCTACAGTATAGTGTCAGTGTATGATATACGTCTTGTACTACGGATGATTTGGTATCTATACATTTATCTACAGAGCGTTCCTCTCCCTGTACACAACCATTATCCCATTTTCCGACATTTTAATTGCTATCACTGATGTAGCTGCTTTTTCTATAAATGAGTTTGTTCACTCTAAGTATCATTAATTCAATTTCGGCTTCGAATTATGCAACCGCAATTTGTTTTCATATCTCCCGTTCTTCGTCACTTTCTCCAGAAATATATATTGGTTCAAATTTCTTTAGTAATATAAGTTCCGCCTCGCCTTGTCATGACTCGTAATCGGCGATGATATTTGAGGCTGTATATATACTTGAAATGATTGAGAGTCTTAAGGATCTGCTGAAATGATTTCTCTAGGGGATTTTCGGTCTTGTTAATGGTGAGGAAGCGATTATTTTTTAGAATTAAAGTCTACACAGTATTGTGCGAATTATATTCTTCATTTTAATCTATTATTTAAGGGCATAATCCCCTTCATTAAAAGTCATCTTTGTTTCAGCTGTGCACTTAAATTAATAATGAAATCCATTCGTTATCCCTTCTAAAGGAACTTTTGTTACACACAGCTTCGTAAATGCTACATATTTGTGATAAATACGTTACGTAATCTCAAAAAATAACTGCAACTGTTGCCTGCAACCATATCGCATTGTATGTGTAAATAGAAGGCACTGCCTTAAACGGTTAAAATATACTTCATTGACAGGCTTCGTGAAAACTACGTCAGCAGGACTTCAGTTTGGCCAGGGTTCGGGCTTCAGAAACTTCAAAGGATACATGGACGAGGTATAGTACCTGTTTTGTATGTAATGATGAGATACGGCAGTCGGTTTGTATGTAATGAAGAGATAGGGCAGTCGTTTTGTATGTAATGATGAGATAGGGCAGTCGTGTTGTATGTAATGATGAGATAGGGCAGTATAGGGCAGTCGTGTTGTATGTAGTGATGAGATAGGGCAGTCGTTTTGTATGGAATGATGAGATAGGGCCGTCGTTTTGTATGTAATGATGAGATAGAGCAGTCGTTTTGTATGTAATGATGAGAAATGGCAGTCGTTTTGTATGTAATGATGAGAAATGGCAGTCGTTTTGTATGTAATGATGAGATAAGCCGGTCGGTTTGTATGTAATGATGAGATAGGGGAGTCGGTTTGTATGTAATGATTAGATCGGGCAGTCGTTTTGTATGTAATGATAAGATAGGGCAGTCGTTTTGTATGTAATTATGAGATAGGGCAGTCGTGTTGTATGTAATGATGAGATAGGGCAGTCTTGTTGTCTGTAATGATGAGATAGGGCAGTCGTTTTTTATGTAATGATGAGATAGGGCAGTCTTGTTGTCTGTAATGATGAGATAGGGCAGTCGTTTGGTATGTAATGATGAGATAGAGCAGTCGTTTTGTATGTAATGATGAGATCGGGCAGTCGTTTTGTATGTAATGATAAGATAGGGCAGTCGTTTTGTATGTAATTATGAGATAGGGCAGTCGTGTTGTATGTAGTGATGAGATAGGGCGGTCGTTTTGTATGTAATGATGAGATAGGACAGTCGTTTTGTATGTAATGATGAGATAAGCCGGTCGGTTTGTATGTAATGATGAGATAGGGGAGTCGGTTTGTATGTAATGATTAGATCGGGCAGTCGTTTTGTATGTAATGATAAGATAGGGCAGTCGTTTTGTATGTAATGATGGGAGAGGGCAGTCGTTTTGTATGTAATGATGAAATAGGGCAGTCGTTTTGTATGTAATGAAGAGATAGGGCAGTCGTTTTGTATGTAATGAAGAGATAGGGCAGTCGTTTTGTATGTAATGATGAGATAGGGCAGTCATTTTGTATGTAATGATGAGATAGGGCAGTCGTGTTGTATGTAATGATGAGATAGGGCAGTCGTTTTGTATGTAATGATGAGATAGGGCAGTCGTTTTGTATGTAATGATTAGATCGGGCAGTCGTTTTGTATGTAATGATGAGATAGGGCAGTCGTTTTGTATTTAATGATGAGATAGGGCAGTCGTGTTGTATGTAGTGATGAGATAGGGCAGTCGTTTTGTATGTAATGATGAGGTAGGGCAGTCTTGTTGTATGTAATGATGAGATAGGGCAGTATAGGGCAGTCGTGTTGTATGTAGTGATGAGATAGGGCGGTCGTTTTGTATGTAATGATGAGATAGGTCAGTCGTTTTGTATGTCATGATGAGATAGGGCAGTCGTTTTGTATGTAATGAAGAGATAGGTCAGTCGTTTTGTATGTAATGATGAGAGAGGGCAGTCGTTTTGGATGTAATGATGAGATAGGGCAGTCGTGTTGTATGTAGTGATGAGATAGGGCAGTCGTTTTGTAGGTAATGATTAGATCGGGCAGTCGTTTTGTATGTAATGATGAGATAAGGCAGTCGTGTTGTATGTAATGATGAGTTAGGGCAGTCGTTTTGTATGTAATGATGAGGTAGGGCAGTCTTGTTGTATGTAATGATGAGATAGGGCAGTATAGGGCAGTCGTGTTGTATGTAGTGATGAGATAGGGCAGTCGTTTTGTAGGTAATGATTAGATCGGGCAGTCGTTTTGTATGTAATGATGAGATAGGCCAGTCGTTTTGTATGTAATGATGAGATAGAGCAGTCGTGTTGTATGTAATGATGAGATAGGGCAGTATAGGGCAGTCGTGTTGTATGTAGTGATGAGATAGGGCAGTCGTTTTGTATGTAATGCTGAGATAGGGCAGTCGTTTTGTATGTAATGCTGAGATAGGGCAGTCGTTTTGTACGAATGATGAGATAGGGCAGTCGTTTTGTATATAATGATGAGATAGGGCAGTCGTTTTGTATATAATGATGAGATAGGGCAGTCGTTTTGTATAAAATGATGAGATAGGGCAGTCGTTTTGTATTTAATGATGAGATAGGGCAGTCGTGTTGTATGTAATGATGAGATCGGGCAGTCGTGTTGTATGTAATGATGAGATCGGGCAGTCGTGTTGTATGTAATGATGAGATCGGGCAGTCGTGTTGTATGTAATGATGAGATCGGGCAGTCGTGTTGTATGTAATGATGAGATAGGGCAGTCGTTTTGTACGTAACACATGGGTGTTGCAGGGGATTTGTTATGTATGTGAAGCCCAAAGTATGTTTCGTGTTTTACGTTATGACGAGGTAGGGTATCCTGTTTTACGTTATGACGAGGTAGGGAATCCTGTTTTACGTTATGACGAGGTAGGGTATCCTGTTTTACGTAATGACAATGTTGGGTATCCGGTTTATGACGTAATGACGAGGAAGGATATCCGGTTTTTAACGTAATTATGAGGAAGGGTATCCGGTTTTTACGCATTAAAGAAGTAGGATACCAGTTATGAAGAGGTATGGTAATGACGGGGTAGGGTATTTGGTTTTATGTAACGACGGGGTAGGATATTCGGTTTCTACGGAATGACGGGTAGGATTTCCAGTTTATAAGTTATGACAGACAGGATGTCAGCCGTATGTACGTGATACATGGACGAATTGTGTATCCGTTTACTATTTACTGCCGAGGTAGGGAATCCGTTCAGTATGTAACACACGGACGTAGAAGGATATTTCCTTTGTTGGTGACACAGACTTGATATGTGAACAATACAAATACACAACTTTCTCTCTGTTAACGTTACTCGAGGTTAAAATCTACGTAATAATGGCATAATGTGGAATAAACGTTTGATCGTTAAAACTCTAATCAGATATGACAATGACCTTTCAATTTGTCTCGTTGACTTAGTGATATTTATGGCAAATGTCCCTTGGTTGTCATTTGAAACGCATCGATGACAATTAGTGTTCTTTGGCGTAGCTCAAATGTCACACAAACCTTCCGGATAGCAGCCTAATCGTCCCATTGGAACTCTTCTGTGTTACGTTTATGGGCTTTTACAAGTGTGCATGTACTAAAGATGAACTGGTATGGTTGTTACTGAGCAATGAGAGGGGCCCCTATACAGTATCTCTGAAAAAGATATAGTAAGTGTTTTATTTATATCGCCACAATATTTTCATTTCAGGATTTGAAAATTCACTCGATATACATGTGTAGTAGGATGAGGAATAGTGATACACATAGTGCCGTCGCTGGGGCTCGGCCCTTAGCTCTCTAGCCCGATGCTCTACCGCTGAGCTAAAGGGAAATTCCCTACAGCTGACGCTTGTAAGGCAACCGAATCAATCCACATCTTTTACACTATTCCCCCCTTTTTTCAAACACCAACCCAGGTTATTTGACTCCCCGCCAAGGGTTCTCCTACCTTGAACGGGGAGGTCAACGGCACCAATTTGTAGTAGGATGAGGAATAGTGATAAATATAGTGCCGTCGCTGGGGTTCGAACCCGCAACCCTTGGCTCTCCAGCCTGATGCTCTACCGCTGAGCTAAAGAGAAATTCCCTACAGCTGACGCTTGTAAGGCAACCGAATTAATCCACATCTTTTAAACATGTATGCGAGAAGGAACGAACGTGTTACTGTATACTACAGCTAATAGTTATTAGAATGCAGTTATCTCTCTTTTTGCATTTTTTTTATATGAAATATTAGTGTGGAAGTACTCGTTATCGTTAATGTCACATACAATGAAATAAGTAAACCTCGGTGAAATAATAAAACCATGGCCTTGCATCGTTGTTATTTTATTAGCAAATGTGATGCTGTTTAAACGTTGTTTGTTTACAGATCTACGTGTATCTGTGCAGGCCAGACGATGCCATCCTGTTCGATAATGTCAACAATACTGAAACTGGTTATACGACATCTGAATTAAATATTGAAGAAGCAACCAGAGAGATATATCCAGATGTGAGAACGTATCCGAAAACTTCGATCGGAACAACAGAAGTAGAGATATCACGTGACGCTTTGGTCAGCAGGAGTTCAGTGATGACGGAGTCGACTGTAACAGAATATGATCAGCTTTATCTTACACGCATCATAGCAGAGGCATTGGATTCAGAGTTTTCTACTACAACAGAAACGATGGATTTACCGGAAGTGACATCACTCGAAGATAATTCAACGTCATTTAAAGAATCAGTAACAGCATTTTTCGATTCGGAAGCAACTTTAAAGAACAGTGCATCAACTTTAAGCATAACATCGTCTTCAATCATAGATATAACATCATCATCTGAAACCGAAATAACATCAAATTCATTAAGTGATTCCTCATCAATGTCTAGTGACGCCAAACAGCCGATAGTAGGAAATACAGAAACATTCATCGAAACATCATCAATTGCTTTAAATACAAGTTATCAAACAACTTTTGTACCGGCAGTAAAAGACTACTCTACTGGAAGTAAACTTCCATTAATCGATGGAGAGTTGAAAAATCTAAATAACGTCACTTCCGTTACTGATATGTTGGAAAGAAGTGATTCATATAATAGCTCATATGAATATAACATAACTACCCAATCACCTTTTGTTGATAATACAAAAGTTACTGACAATATAACAATACCTAATATCACACTACGTGACATCGTTCTTAAAAATAACTCATTAATATCGTTAATTACAGGTAAAAATATTGATTTAAATTCGAAAAAAAATGCTTCAAACTTAGACCTTGGAAACGAAACATTACAGTTACTAAACAATAGTGAAAGTAAAGGAAATCATTGCTGTATTAATTCTAATTTACACGGTGCTACAGGAATGCACAACCAGACTGCTCAAAGCGTTCTCAAGACAAATGGTGCTATTATCCACAACGAAAATGGTCAACATAGTGATAACGAAGGCCGTATAGCCGGAAACAATAGTCTTACAATGGCTATACAAACTACTGACCGCCCGACCCCCGGGGATACTACCGTCCCGGGATCTGCAGTAACTCAATCGTTTAAATTTACAAATTGGCTATTTGCCAAGTATGGAAGTGATTATCGTAGCGAGAATGGACGATCACGTGGGACTGACAGCGAGACTAACGTGACTAGTTCGAGACCAGAAAACTGATTATACTTTAATAAAGATATTTTTGTATGAATTAATAGAAAAGTTTGTCTGTTGTTTTTCCTTTCAAAATATGTATCAATGATGCTGAATGAGTGGCATCATCGACTTATTTGAGGAAAAACCAATAAAGTCACGCAGAACGAAGGATAGACCATGAGTAATTACGAAAAGCTGCAGGAACACGGAACAGATACAGACACCTAAAAGCTTAGTAATGTAGATCAGCATCAGTTCTCTAACCAGACGTCTCAGAAGGACACAACATACATATATACTTTAAACCGAACAACTTTCGCCCAGTCAAACTTTCGCTCTACTACGGTAAAATTCATATTCTGTCGATTTGGTCAATTCACTCTTGATTACTATGTCTCTTATTTGGTTACTAATGTTGGTTGTAATGATAAATTAACCCTACTTGCGGAAGGCGAAAAAAAGCGAAAGTAAAACTGTGGCGAAAGTGTACCAGTATGTAGTAAACAGGCAAATAAAACACCAGTTCTCTAGTTAGACGTGTCAGAAGGTATATATATCACCATTTATTGTTTCAGCAACACATCTTTGTCAATTATCTTTATATGTACTTGTGAAACAAGAATACAGAACGTGTAGTTCACTCTCACCATCACATCATACAGCATCACGATCTTGCAGACGTTTAAAACTTGACACCATGGGACCATAAAGACAAATGGTGAGATTTATCTTGAGATAATTCAAGATATCACTTTGATTATGTTGATTATGTAAATAAAATCAAAGTTCTTCTGTTACTTACGCTGAAGGTATAAGTGAAGTTCTTTTTGGTTGGCAAAATATGTTTGCCTTATTTTTTCCTTGAATATTTGACGTGGACAAACACAAAACAGGTAATGATAGAAATGAATGAAGGCAAAAACAAAGTTACAAACAAACACACCGAAAAACAACAACCAGCAGAAAACTAAGAAAAAACTTCCTTTGTTATTGATGCTACCAAGGGTAACTACAAAAGAGCTCGTGTTCGCCAATTAATAATAATTATACTATACAGCATTTTGATATAGCGCCCTATCTAGATAACATAAGCCACTCTAAAGCGCTTCAATTAGCATATACATTAATCAATACAATGTTGAGGAATTCGCAGGAGCTGCCTTATCAAGCACTAAATACTAGTCCTATGACCTAAACGAAATCGAAAGTTAATCATTAAATAGTTTTAAAACTTCCACAGTGTTTTTTCTGAGAACATGCACATACCTACTCGATAATCACCGAGACAATTCACGTTGCTGTAATAAAACTAAAAGTGTGCACGTATAAAGTTGAGGAGCACTCCAGAGAACCAGTAGTGTTACTGAAAATGACGGCGACTACATCATTAATCCATAGGTTGAAATGCTGGCTATAGGTTACGTAAGACGATGTCTAGAAGCCGTATCAATCTGATACATCAGCAATCAAAGACAGGCACACATCTCAATCCAATCATTCTCACACAAATACCACAACTACCGATACTTGACCATCAAAATACATTCGATATAAAAGTAATAGGGAAACGTGACGCCATTGATTTATTTCTATAAAAAGTTGAGATTTGTTTATATAACGCAGCCTTGTATAAGGGTGGTTGCTGTGCGTTGGTACGGTACAGTAATACAGTTCCACTGCTTCCCGCCAAAAGTATCAGACGGGGTCATTTTATAACTATCTAGGGATGTTGTTTTCGTATCTCCTATTCCTTAAGATTGCCCATCTATCATGTATATCTAATTCACAAGAGCACTGTATAGCTCATAATACAAGGACATCATAATAAAGTCGTTATTTCTGTATAAAACTGCTAGTAAATCCTTCTGTGAAGTGATATGCATTGATCGGTTTACAGCAGGGATCAAACCTTAAAGGGAATCACTCAAATATCACAGTAATTTTTGGTCCAATTTCATTTGAATGGACAAGATGTTTTTCTTTTTTTTTCATTTTTCATAGTTTAACATACGCGACAAAGTACGAAACCGGAGAAGGACATATGTAAACAGAATACATGGAGCATTATGCGTCAGCCAGAAAACTAGATAATAACACCCATATTTACAGCTGGAATTTTTCATAAGAAAAAAACAACAACATGGTTTTAACGGTTTCAAAAAAACTTTTAACAATAATTGGAACTTGTCTTCGATGGTCTGGCAACATCGGACAGTATACATCCTACATCTAAAACTAAGGACACGGTTATCGAGCACTGAGGACCACGGGGATAGTTCCAATCCAGGAACTTTACTAATATTGATTTATCTTTTCAGCTTTGTATTTCGTGTAAAAGATACATAGCAGCATTTAACAATGTGATGACGTCACACCAACATCGTTTGCATCGTTGGTGGAGTCATATTATGCCGGCACTAAATATCATGAGCCTATTCAGGGATTTTTATCGCCCTGTGCTAAATATGCCCTAAATACAGATTTTTTTAGGAATAAAATTTTGTCCAGAATTATCACACACTAATATCGTCTAGATCAAATCAGTTATGCTAGTTAGATTTGCAAAAACAGTCCGTCTTCAAAATCTCTTTAATTTGCGAAATGAAAACTGTTAAAATTAGAGTGATATAATGCTTAGTTATAAAATGTGCTAATTTGTGTATAAATGGTAAGCATATGAAAATTTTCAGTCATATGATATAGTGTACGGATATGAAGTTATATCACTGAAGCTAAATTTGGGATCTTATCTTTTCTCTTCTTTCTAAACAACTTTCTTCTTCCTAATATCTCCCTTGGCAATGCCTCATGCATCTTGCACACAGGGGAGACCGTCCTTAAATGACCATAGCTGTTGATAGGTCGTTAAAGAATACTAAACGAAAACAAACCAAACCATCACACTACCCTCCTTTTGGATGAAATGAATCGTTGCTTAGTTAAATACGTGTGTGTTTATACACATACAGAACATCGTGTCAGAATGAAGAAAAACCTGGACGGCCATGATGATTTGTATGATTAAGCCACCATGCAACGAGAAGAAGTGCAAAACAACTGTTAACACATATTTTGTCGTAAAACGCCGAAACAGTCATCGCAAATTCACCGCGTTATGCCCTGAAAATCACGTGTGTGAAAACATCGAACGCATTCGCCCACGATCTGAAGTGAATTTTAACACAATCATACGCTAGTGAAAGTTGGTCCGATTGATGGGATTAGAATGGAACGTGGTGGTAAGTACGAGTAAAGGGACAGTGCTCGAGTCTGGACAGGATGGCCGAGGCAATTCCTTATGGCGAGCAGGACAAAATTGTTCCTATACGTAGATTAATTCCAGAATTCTGTACGCCCAAAGGAAGCATAACGGTGAGGATGAACTGTTGTTATAACCAAATGCAGATAAAGAAAGAGATAGCTGACCTGTTTGAGCAAGTGTTCGAGAGAGCCATACCAACATTCTCAACGAAACCGTTAAATCAACTGATTCAGTTAACGCTTTGATAGAAACAGCTGTATACACACCATGACAAAAGTTAAATCCTCAATGAATCGATCTATTGTGCTGGAATATCACTACATGTTCAATGACACAATCTCGCGCGTATCTACTGGGGAAATCTTGAGCAAGCTAAACGTGAATCATGGCTTTTGGCAAGTTTCATTATAATAGCTTAACACTACCTTATCTATGAATGGGAGAATGGAAACTCTATGTGATGAAACGCTACTACAAACATGATCAAGGAGCGATGGCCGCTGTAGAGGTATCAGGCACCGAGTGTCAATCACAAATACGGGCGGCTCAACGACGAAACAGTCAATCTCTATTATCTCTAACCTTTCAGATAATAAGTAGTAATATAAGGGGATTGACGTTAGACGAACAAGGGTTAAACATTTGGAAGGTAGCAAACGAACTTATACAAAAAGCGTAAGCGTTGAGTCATCGAACTGTTATTATGACAAGAAGAGTGTAGGCCTAGTCAAAGCCATAAATCTCCAACCAGCCCACGCGAGAGTACTGCTTGTGCCGACGTCACGCGAGAGTACTGCTTGTGCCGACGTCACGCGAGAGTACTGTTTGTGCCGACGTCCAACCAAAACGATCTTTGAAAACAACATTTCGTTGTTACCGCCGACATGTACTTGTCCAGGTATTTCGAGAGTATTTCGAGCTGTTGGAACTCGCAAAATAAGAAGAACACGACACTCATCATCTAATCTAATTAGGTCTTCGTTTGACATCGAAACCATCTAAGGTAAAGAGCAGCAATTGACCATGCCATACATCCACAGAATTTATTAAAAAAAATACAGCTTTAACATTATAAATAAAATCCTCCCGATGTAAGATGTGACCTCCCAGTTTTACCTATACTTGTAACATAAATCTATGAGCGCTATTTATTAGCCCTCTTAATCAAACCCAAAAAGGGCAAAAGCTAACAGAAGTCAAAATGCCTCATTTAGCAGTATTCGAATTTTAGAAATGCGATCAGTTTCTTTCACTGATTGAAACATAACGCATTACACAGAAAAGTCACAGCTCTGTTGGCAATGCTGAAAACTCATGAAACAACAACGAATGGCAGCATTATTCATAAGGAGGTTCAAAGGGTTGTATTTTTTGTAAGAAGTCTATGTTATAATGTCAGAATTTATTAATATTAATGGTATCGGTCATGGAATTTGATTGATTTAGAAATAAGGTTCGCTTGAACCTTGTGTAAATGATGTCAGATAAAATAAACACTGCAATAGGACCGCCTTTTTCTGAATATCAACATCTTTCATTTTAGTGGGTCATCGATCACGCGCACACTTTGTCAAAATCAATTAAATATTACTAAATGAATGATGTCGTCACGATATTCCTGTCACCTAAAGTGACATTTGAAGCCATTGCCAATTTCAGCTATTCACAATTTATAACTTCAATCTGTGCTTTTCGTTAAAATCATCACTCAGACAGATATGCCTCGCGTGTTCCCTACTCTGCTACTTTCGACCGGAATGGACGCTGGTTCAGGCGACAGCAGACACGATTGTCGTGTCGGTATATGACAGACAGAAAATTGAATTCTACCTATTCGAATAAGGTACATTTTGAGATACATTCTCCGTTACACCATATGTGCGCTAATCGAGTTATGTTCAATGGTTTGAAACTGAATACAGGAGTCCAATAGGTCAGAGCATGCTGACATGTCGTAATAGCAAGTAACATAATGTAAAAGGGTGAATTCAAGACGATGGCGAACATGTTAAAGAAACAATTTACGCAGTCTGTCTGTCTGTCTGCAAGTAGCTTTATAAATGACCACAGAAGAAATGCGTTTTCATAGGACTACGAACGCTACGAAGCTCCACCTCCCGCCTTGCATATCGTGGAAGGTTCTAAGACGCAAACATTTTGTTGACTTTCGGATGTTCCAAGAATAGCGTTTGCACTGAAAAAACATATTTTGATAACAAGTTATTCGTTAAAATGTGTGATACACATGTGATTTGTGGTGCGACCTTGTGTAGACTGGACACTACCGTCACCATTCAATAATTAAGGTGGCTGGTCTCGCCTGCATGTTAAAGGTAATTGTCAATACATACAATCTAACTTAGTATGGGTAGTTCTGTCTAGGGATGTTTACAGCGACCTGTCTAGGTAATACAGAACACGTCATTACTATCCATAACTCAGGCGGCTAGTCGCACTCATCCGAAAACGGCAATGTCCACTATAAATAGCATAGTAACCACTCGGTAAATATAGGTACCAATATAACTGCCTGGTCCGCATCATGTGATATAAAACGCACTCAAGATTTGACCAGAGTTCGTAAAGTTCGGACTTGGTGGGAGAGAGATATTGGTACGTAACTATGAAATATCCATTGATATCAAAACAAAACAGAACCATTCGTTTCATATATTTTGAAAGATTTTTAAAGGAAACAAGTATAGACATGTTAGGGGAACAATGTTTGAGGAAAATGTTTATCTTTATTTTTCATAAAATAAGATTTCGGTATAGGACATATGACATCAATTGTGATCTCAGCTTGCATACAAGGAAATTGGAAATACATTGTTTGTATTGCATTAAGTTGTGTTAACATAAGTGTGCATTAAACACATTCGTTATGCGGTATAAGATCAAAACCGATAAGCATTAAGAAAATAAACGTTCGTACCGAAGAGAAGAATACATGTGAAAAGAATCGTCCCATTAACAGCTTAGATCATTTGAGGACGTTCATGTGTATGTGTAATTGTGGCAGTGTGTTGTTTTATTTGCATAATGATGCATTTGTGATGTGTAAGAAGAGCGTTGATAAAAACGACAGGGGTGCTAGCACGAACAGACCGACAATAGGATCCGAAACAAATTGTGAATGTTCATGCATGTGGGCATTGAAAGGAATGTTACGTCAGGATACCAAACACAAAGAACGACTAGGAACCAAATGGGTGAAAGACACACACGCACATGACTCAGGCAGGGGTCAGGGTAATTGGGCTTGGCAAATGGGATATATTGCTATGACCGAGAAGATAAGTTGGTTCAAGACAGCAAACACTTTTCCCGGTAATATCTTGGTCATTGAGTTACAAAGTTTGCTCCATCTAGAAGTAAGCGAACATTGTACTACGAGACCTGATTTTAAAGGACATGAACGACATTACACACAGTGTAAGTGCTTTACGAACTAACGTCATGCACGATTGAGACACCCTTAATCGTAATGTGAAACTGTACTATAATGTTGAGTCCATAATATTTTCAGTTTTATAGCGTTTAGCTGCTAAAACATCTCACAGTAGTGGTGACTCGCACACAGAACTCGCTCCAGCTGATCTTCTCCGCAAGCCAGAACTGGGGAGAAGCATCACATGAAACAAGTGATAAGTGTATCAGACTATTGGCGTGGGTGTGAACGTTTGGTGAACTGGGGCACAGCAAGGCTTTAGGACACACGAACAGTCGACTGTGTCGTTTACGTCGCACGAACAAACATATGTGGCGTCAAACTGTTTTTTCTCCGACAATTTCTTTCTTGTCAGCGCTGTAGAAAACTAATGTTAAACTGCAACATACTGTCTACCGTTTAGAAAACTTATAATAGAAATGTTTGAGAGCATACTAAAACAATAAACGAGTAGATTACCGATAAGAAACACATGGTTAATGCTATTTAACACACGAATACGCTATATTGTTTCAATGTTTGCTTCATGATTGATCAAGTTTGCGAAGCATTACGACCCGTGACGTCACTCATCGTCATTATTTACATTTCCTGTAAATAGATAAGCAAGCAATCCATCTTGTGATGCTCGACTTTAGTTTCAATAATAACATTTTTATTCTCCCTTATGTTTTTTCCTCAGCACCAAAAGTAAGTTTTGTCAGAGTTGGGTTTCAGGGGTCAATTGGTGCTCCCCTTCGATACAACAAATTTAGCATTTATTGAAATGTTTCATGCATTATGTTTGTGTTTAACATTAGTTTTCTGTTCTGAGTTTCGACAACGTTGTTTGACAAGTTAACAAAGTATAGGGAGGTCAACGTTCAACCTAATCTGAGCCCAGTGCTTACTGGGAGAAACAACATCATTTCAATTGGCCTGGGGCTACGTCGATTGCATCGCCATTGACGCCAGACACTGTCAGTTTCAGTAACATGTTTGTCATTTGAGAAGTAATATGTTAAATGTAAATATTTTAATCAATATCAGTTCCTAATATTTTTCAAAACTTCCGTAGCATGGGTAGGTAAGGTGACATTATTCTGTCATCCCTGTACCAGTATGCTGTACCTTGTGATACTATTTATTGTAATAAGTCTAGTTCATCAGGTACGGCGTCGATAGGGCGTATACATATGTCAAGTACAGGTGTATATATCTACGTAATAGTATGTATCTTAATTATATATAACATAGGGAGTCCCTTCCACACTTCGGACTAGTCATCTCGCCTCACCTCTCCTGACAGGTACACATGTGACGGAGCAGACATAATGCTCACAGGACTCATAGTTTAAATACTTTTATTTTCTTCGTTTTTTTCACGTCCTGACAAAAAAGGAATGCAAATCATGCATTTAATTGTATTTAGCAATCAACGGAGAAAATCTAGGTCGCACTTGACTTAAACCGAGAGGTACGTATTCGTTGTTAAATGAAAAAGAGAACGCTGTCTGAGATGGGTGATAATAAAAGTGACATCATAGGACATTCCGATGTTAATAACATGTGATTGTTTTCCGAATGTTTAGACAGGTCGCTGTTTACTAAGGGTATACAATGCCAGACCTGATTCAAACAGATACTTCCCCCAAACTTCACTGTCCAGAAACCTCGACGTGAGGAAGAAATACACCAGGTAAGAGACTAAATCTTATTAGACTCGGAAACGAGGACTACTTTTATACAGATTGTTGCATACCTAATAGGGAACCATTGTAACATGTTGCCATAAAAGGTTGCTAGTGTGTACGTTCGCCCTCCACATGGTGTGCAGATGTGTAATTACAATTACACCCCCGTGTATGGACGTCGTGCGACTAGTTATACATTAATTTATGCTGTAGTCTTTTTTTTTTTTAAATCAGTAAGAACAATATTTATTCTTTGCAAACATGGCGACATCAAATTTCATTAATTAATTTTTCCTTCGTAGTAACATGTATTCTAGCTCTTGCTCAGAGAGTTTTCGGATCCGATATGATTCACTACTCCGGACCTTGTTCTATCTGGGAGTAAATGATGGATAACTAACTATGACATTAAAGTACATATGCTGTTCTAAACCTTGTTACAAGATAGATGCATATCTTGTTTAACTGACGGGAGACATCATCAAGGTAACCACGAGTGGCGTAGACCACATTTACTCTTCTTGAACAGTTACTTTCACCTCCTACTTTTTCGAGGATTGCTTGTTATATTTTTCTTTCGCATTGAACTTCGGTTACATTTTGTCCTTGCAATGTGCTGACACTTTGAATTTATTTCTAGTTAACTTTAAATCAGTTCATGAACAATTTTAAAATAATATAGCAAAACAACAGTTGACTGATAACGAGAACGTAAAAGATTGCAATGTAACGGTAATAAAATGACATTAGAACTCATAGTTGACACGGAAATATATAACCAGAAGTGAAGACACCGAAACAAATGTTGAATCTTCACATAAATTAGGTGTTTGTCTTTAACGCAGAAGTCCCCGGTTATGAAATTAAGTAATCATGAGTTAAACCGGGGGCCAGCTCATTTAAATATCAAATCATTAGTTATACCTGGATTTTTTACCTGGTGAATATTATCGAAAACGTTGAGCCCTAAACAACCACAAGCCCTCATCGGTCTGTCAACCTTGCAAATGGTTTATGCAAATGTCATCAGCTTCTCTTTGATAGATGAACTATTTGTAAATGACTTATCTCATTTTTCTTTAGATCAGATGTCAAACACTTATATGACCATGAAAGAGTGTATAATAATCTAGGTTTGTGTCCATCTTATTCCGTGTTACACTTTTTACATTAATATTTTATATAGCTACAAATTGTACAAAGTCACGTGCCCGGAGATACAAACACATTGTATGGTTTATCATTAGAAATATAACACTACGGATAGATAATAACATAGTATTATGTAATGAAACACTGCACACTATATATACAAAATTGTAAGTGCTTGGTTACCCAGTTAAAGCGTATGCTAGTTCTTTTTCGAGAAATGAAATAAGGGCCACTCCAATGTAAGAACAGTACGTTACAACGTGGACGTTTCTTGTTCTATTTTTAGCGTATCAGACCACCCCGAAGATGACGTCATCCGTGGACAATGTTCATTTCATTCCGAGTATCTTGACGCTCGGTGTCCTATATATCAGTTCGTCCGCCTGGGCAGCCATTATCTCCGGCACAACCCAAGGTAAAGTAATGTTTATTTAGACACCGCTCCATTTGTTTCGGACAGTAATAGTACACAATGCAAGAATGTTCGGAGAATGTTTACATCATATTCAATCTACGTCAACAAGCAAAGATCAAACGTTGGCTGATTATATTATTTCTAATAAGATATGAGTTGATTGACATTAATTAGTTTTCACCAGACATGTGACACTATTCCGTATATAGAGAAGCATTTTGATACAGATTGTTCCTGTATGTAATTGTACAGTTCACTGTAGGTCAGAAGACGTGGAGTTACTCATTTCCTTCATGTTCTTCACTGAAACATAAAGGAATTTCCCCATACAAAGCGAACTATTGCTTTATGTCCCTGATAAGTAATATATTTGCGTGGAAGTGGAATGTAATTTCAAATAACAGAGATATTAACACTCAAATCAAATAAATAAAACAAATATTTAAAAGCTAGATTTTTATTTTTATTTGCGGAATGAATGTGGAAGGTAGATTCGGCATCTTTAGCCCACTAATTGGTTTAAACATGTGGATTCGAAGAGCGTATCCTATAATTACAATGATGAGATTTTCTGATCTGTTGCGTGAAACTTTTTTCAAGAAAAGGTCGACTCTGAAAACCGGCATATGCATATGGAATTTATTCAAGAATTGTCCATTTACAGATGTTATATTCGTAGCACCATGAAAGGAGAATACATTTACCGAAGACCACACGGTTTAACTTTTTCCAGTCTTCTGAGTCAACGTTTAACTCTACGACTGATTTCCATTCAGTCAAGGACACACCTTTGACCTTTGCACTATCTCTATAGAAGGATTCGGTCGAAGTTTCCAGAGACAGTTTGAAATTTCGATTTCTCATTAACACATACAGTGTTGTCACTTCTAAAGCTGAAAATGAAGCTAATTTTTTCAGCGTAACACGCGACCTTGGTCCTTTATTATAAGGAACTCCACCATCTAATCCCATTCAACACTTCGCTTGTTTAACAAGTTTAACATTTCGCCTGAATGCCTTTAAAGCCTAATGGGTTATTATGTGTTCCAGCTCCATGGCTTGGACGGTTTTTCCAATAATCTAATGGAGCACTGAGCCATACAGTCTTGTTTAATAATTGTAAAAAAATTACCACAAATTTAAATCTGGAAAAATTGAAGGTCAAAGGTTCAATAGGTTGCAATGCAGGGGATGCGTTGAGTATGAGATTGACTAAAATATGCTACAAAAAAACTATTCAATTGTACTGGTTAATGTATATTTCTCAAAACGTGTAGGTAGTTCCAAAGATATATTTATCTATACTCCTATATAACAGTCATTCTAACATGATGTCATTCATCGCGCGTTATATTGTTTCTAAAGCTACTTCACGTGGCCCGATATTGTTGATTACGAGTATGCAGAACGTGCTTCGTCACGATAAACTACACTAACCACAAACACCCTACGCTACTCTTGTTTACAATTATCCTTACTTTCTTTGTTGAAATATTACACTTTTTTTTAAAGACATTTGAGATCTGCCGATACTGGTTCCATCAGCAGAGTTATACGGCCTGTCAAGTCCAATCCGTTTCCGTGTTAGTTACACATAAATCTCCCGGGACTTGATACAAACACTTCCAGCATCCATCACATGTGGCGCTATCGGAACGCAACAGTATAAAACCTCTTTTGGCACTTCAGTGGGAAAACCCAATTATTTGTGTTCTAGCATTTTGGTTTGTATTCGGCTTCCGCTGTTTGGTTTCTTGAATTGATTGCTTTTCAAGACTGCTTGTGTTTTTCTCCTGCGTATTAAACCCGTAATTAGTTGTTGATCCAATTCTTTTGTTAATTTAATGTGACCGATTTCGTTAACGGTGATTTTGTTTTATTTCAGGAACATGTAATCCCAAAGCTGACATGGTGTTTGTACTGAACGGAAACACGTCCATTTCAACGGAAAACTTCCAAAAGCAGAAGGAGTTTGTTCGTGAAGTGATCACCAACCATAGTTCACCGCCAGGAGCAGTTCACGTAAGGCGATACTTCTCAATCCTTACCAATCCTCTGCTGCACCTTTTCTGTTATCCTTACATCGCTTCGGTCAAGGTTAATAACCAGTTTTGGAATGTTACTTCAGTTTCTTTTGAAATGAAATATATCTCATTAAAAATGACTATTAAAAATAAATTGATAATATTTACAACGTTTTGCTCTTTCTGAAATTGTGTATAAATGTATATTACATAAAGATGTATAAAACACCGACTACTTTAAAGGACTATATGTAAGTACGACAGGAGGTTGTCGCCTACAATGCATGTATATCTTATAATAAGACAAGGTCTTCTCGTCCTTGTTTGCCAAATAATATTTTATATATTTATCTGATTTGACACAAATTGGCAGGCCTGTATGTCGTCAGACTTGCAGTTGCTCAATAGTACTCATGTTCCTCGAATAGTAGACTATAAATCATAGCTCTAACGCTATTCTGTATCAGACAACGTACAACATCCAGTGTATGCTTACTGAATGGTCAGACCTATATAATTATACAGTATTTACATTATACAGTAAACTATTTCATGTAATCAAAATTGATGTTAACGAAGTAATTATTTATCTATTAACAGGTGGGTATTATTGTTTGCAGCGATAGTAATATCACGGAAATTGATTTCAAGATCTCCAAAAAAGAAATCCTCACTTCTCTGGAAAGTATAAAGAAACCAGAACCCAATCCTAGTGAAAATAAGAAAAGTGATTGTATTGCAAGTCTGCGAGAAGCGTACTCCAACAGGGAGCGCCACAATACCTCTCGCACGGCACTCTTTGTTATTGGTGAGGAAGGTCGCTGGAACAAGGAGGATACAAAGTTGTTGAAAGTGGAAACGGAAGAAGAGGGTATATCTCTCCTTATCGTTGGCGTCGGAATACAAAGTTTTTCTGTTCTGAATGCCATTCAAGCGATTGTGTCCGACAACCGAAAGTTCTACGTCCTGTCGTCGTATCGCGGTCTAAAGCGGCTATCAGCGGAGCTTACCACAGGGCCATGTTTACGTAAGTATGAAGCTTAACACGCACGTGATGTATTTACGTAATTACAGAGTTCACCACGTGGCGTGTTTACGTCAATATAGAGGTCACCACATTGCGCGTTTACGTCATTACAGAGCTCATCATGTGGCGTGTTTACGTGAACAAAGAGCGTTCGTGATGCCGTGTTACCTAAGGTATTACAGTTTATGTCGGGGCAGTGTTCCATTAACTAGAAGATTAGCATAAAAACGTGTTAATGAGGTATATACAGCACCACGGGGGCTGGTTTACGTTAAGTATGTTGCTTACATAAAATGAACCTAACAACACTAGCATAAAGGAGACTTCGAGGGAACATGATCGAAATGTACAAAATTGTAAACAGATTTATGATAGAAAGGCTTGTACTTTTGTTATGCTTTAGAGAGAGGGATCCATCACAAACAATAGCAGAGGAAATACGTTTTAGGTAAACATTGAAACCATTGAACCAATATGAACTAGCAACAATATATAAATAACTTCTAATTTGGTAAGTATACATCATACACTTGTACTAGGCATTGCTACTTAATTGTTTAGGATTGTTCCAGCATTGTTTACTTAACACGACTATCGATTGTTTTCAATATAAAAATTGGTTATAAGACAGTTTGATGACGTGTTCATTTGATTTGTTTTACAGCCATGTCGTTGGAGGTATCTGAATCTGTGACGCCCCAGCCGATCATTCCGGTGCCCCTACCCTCTCTCACCTTCAACAGTAAGGTCTCTAGTCGTTGATGTTATCTCGTTTGTAAATTGACACTCATATTTGAACAAATTAAATGAGTGTTATTGAAAATACCACAGCATCTGTTTAACATCGTAAGGACACGTCTCCGACCACTTACGTTACTATAATTCAATTTATTGACATTTCTGTAAAAGTCAGGTCTATTAACACGTCCGATTACATTTTAAAGTGATAGGCAGCACGATAGATATCATATGATACACAGTGATGAGTATATAGTGGATGTCAGTGGTGACCAGGGATATCAGGTGGTAGAACGTCTGGTGACCAGGGATATCAGGTGGTCGAACGTCTGGTGACCAGGTTTATTAGGTGGTCTAACGTCTGGTGACCAGGGATATCAGGTGGTCTAACGTCTGGTGACCAGGGATATCAGGTGGTCTAACGTCTGGTGACCAGGTTTATTAGGTGGTCTAACGCCTGCTGACCAGGGATATCAGGTGGTCGAACGTCTGGTGACCAGGGAAATCAGGTGGTCTAACGTCTGGTGACCAGGGATATCAGGTGGTCGAACGTCTGGTGACCAGGGATAGCAGGTGGTCGAACGTCTGGTGACCAGGTAAATCAGGTGGTAGGACGTCTGGTGACCAGGGATATCAGGTGGTCGAACGTCTGCTGACCAGGGATATCAGGTGGTAGGACGTCTGGTGACCAGGGATAGCAGCTGGTTGAACGTCTGGTGACCAGGGATATCAGGTGGTCGAACGTCTGGTGACAAGGTTTATCAGGTGGTCGAACGTCTGGTGACCAGGTTAATCAGGTGGTTGAACGTCTGGTGACCAGGGATATCAGGTGGTCGAACGTCTGGTGACCAGGTATATCTGGTGGTAGAACGTCTGGTGACCAGGTATATCAGGTGGTCGAACGTCTGTCTTGTCCTGAAACACATAGTAGTTCTTAGATTGTAAATACTGATGAAGCACAAAATCATCGGATGATAAAACAAGCGTTAATGCCAGGAATTGGATTCCAGTGACGCACCTATTCAGATTCAGATAATCAGTATTTTAAATTTCACGATTTTCAAACCTTTATACGGTTTATATTGTAGGTAAGTGCCGTGAGTTGTCAGACGGACGGTCGTACATTCGGGAAATCCCCTTTTTAGGATGGCAGCGGCTTACGTGTCCGGAAAGTACCCGGATTGACACAAATGACTGCAAATGTCGGATACCGACGGAATCTGTTACCAGTAAGTGTTCGCGTGTTAGACGTACTTTTTTTGTGATTTTAAATTGTTTTTAACGTCGTTTATCATGATGAAACAATATTCTCGAGAAAATAGCTGTTCTACCTTTTGGTAAACAGTTTGTTTCAAATGTGTCCTGAATCAAAACTAACAAAATATGGAGAGAGAAAAAAATCCGAAGGCGTTTTGAAATACATATACTTAACATTGCGCATCATTGAATATTTATATAAACTATGAGCATAAATGCTAAGAAACCCCTTTTAATCCTGAACATGTAGTGCTGAGTATATGAATTCTATGATGCATAACGCGTCATCGTCCTTGTCTTGATCTTTTTGAAGGGATACCGGAAGTAATGTCGACTGACACAATTGAAATATCGACTCCGCTACCAGTGCCAACTTCACGCATATCAACAACAAGTACAAGCTTAGCCGTAACGACATCGCAGCCAACAACTTCACAATCACCTCCAGACCAGTCTGTTACAGTACGCACGGCCATTACAACAAAACAGGCTATCATAACACCCATTACCTCGTCCAATTTACAAGGCAGTATCGTGGTTGACAGGAAAGGTAAAGTAACTCCAGCACACGACTTGACGACACCTAGCAACCAGTCAAACTTAGAGCCAAAGACTAAACCTAATCAGATATATGTTGATTCGGTAACACAACCTCAACAGCAAACAGAACTTATATCACCTCGTGAAACTTCGGAGAAAGAAATGGCAAAGACGACAGAACGTCCGCAATCGACGTCATTTGTGAATCCAGCTACCCCCGGGACATCTACTTCCGGTAGTGATATAGATTTGATAGATTTAGGCAAATATCTTAAAAACCAGCCATCAACCATGACAACAAAACCTTCATTGAGTAAGTAAGTTTAAGTAAACAAAATCGGAAAGAAAAGTTTAATTTCCAGAGTGAAATACAACCAAACTCAGCGACTGATAAATGGACACGAGATCGTACACACATGCCCTCTGTCACGGAATCAACAGCAGGGAGGACAACTCTCACTAGAACAAACAAATGAATAACCGCAGAGCATGCTACCTCAGAGCATTACCTAGCTATTGCTGATCGGATCCAAAACCACAAGTATATTCATTTTTCGAGTATCTAAACATCAGAACAGAGTAGTGTGAACTCAAATGTTAACGGAATTTAACGAAAGGACGTTGATTTTTCTGTTTTGCACATTTCCTGAAATGGCAGGACAGTACCATCGACCTGTCCCAAATAATGTTGTTTCGGGACATTTGATTGGACGTCGCAATAAGTTACGTCTTTTTTTGGATGTTAGTCACAATCAACATTGTTTCACTGGTGGAGATATCACATGTGATAAGATTGTGTTTAACTGTACGTGTATGCGCTGATAGTAGTAATTCGTTTTATAAATATTAGCAGTTTTTACTCAAATACCACGGAATCGTCTTATTTTTTCATGACTCTAACCAGAAGTCAACTATCACTTTTAACCTATGTTACATATGTAACCCTCCATACCAAATGACGTCATGCTGTATCACATAGCAACAGTCAGGTTTGGGTTGCTTTGGCGATTAAATGAGTTTGTCTGTGCATCGACATAATAATCATCAAAACAAACAATATTTCATAATCAGATTTCAGTTATTCTTCTTTTTCAATGACAAGATTGGACGGTGATGTTATACAACCACCTTACTCATACCGATTGCTGTAAGGTTTGGGAACACGTGTCTTGTGGAACAGGATGACAGCATGAAATATACACAAACAGTCAAGTGTTAAACTGATATGGATTTAGAAATGTTGATATTAGATTAGCATTATGCTTTATATATATTTTGGAAATTATAACGCCAAGGCGATGGGGTTTATAATCAGTCGGCTTTTTTCAGGGAATCTTAATGAACAGCTGAAACTTTGATTAATTCCTATATTAATTTCACTTTGGATTTGTCTTCAGACTTATTTATCCATCCTTGGCTTTCGTAGTTTTCTAATTATCAAGACCAATCATTTTTTAATCTTAGCAGTGGAACAATTAAATACCTGCTAACTACCAAGTCGTCTTTATGACGAGAAGGTGAGATAAGACATGATTTTTCGTCAAAATCTTATAAATAATACACACACATATATATATATATGTATAACTGTAATCCAATGTACGTCTCTTGAACTGAAAAATAAATAGCAAGTAACAAGTTGTGTACTACGAACATGTAACTGCTGTAAAATATGTATGCCTTTCCATTTTAATTCATAATAGTTTTGACCGTTGGTGTGTTAGATGGATTTTTCTATGATTACGCGCAAGAACTTTGACCGTTGGTGTGTTAGATTGATTTTTCTATGATTACGCGCAAAAACTTATGGTATCGTTTCAGTCTTTTTTTCGAACTGATTAAAATAATTAAACGTAATTCATAGACTTTTCTAGTGTCGAATGGTGAGCATTAATATATCATTATGTTAAGTATTCACCATAATTATATATGGCATACTAACATACATTTAGATATTAATTATCTTAATGTTATTATCATACCATATGTAATTATGTTCATGTTAATTATTATAGAAAACATACGTTACATATCACCATAGATGACTTAATTCTAACTTCATGACACAAGAACGCCTGTTTTAAACATTAGGATACGTATTATAAAACTTTCTACTTCTATACTCAGTTTTATCATTGATATACAAGGAAGTACCTTTAACGAATATATATTAAGATTAGTTAATTATTAAAACATAACATTTCAGAATGTCAACCAGAGCAAGTCTGCTAATGATGATAGAACAATGTCGTACCACATCAAGCCTAACAAGTTCCCAGTCTATGTGTTAATTAATGGCATAACACATCAAGCCTAACAAGCTCCCAGTCTATGTGTTAGCTAATGGCATAACACATCAAGCCTAACAAGCTCCCAGTTAATGTGTTAGTTAATGGCATAACACATCAAGCCTAACAAGCTCCCAGTCTATGTCTTAGTTAATGGCAAAACACATCAAGCCTAACAAGCTCCCAGTCTATGTGTTAGTTAATGGCATAACACATTACGCCTAACAAGCTTCCAGTATTGTGACACCAAATATTCCTCCAGGACAAATACCAAGACACTGTCAGTCTCATAACCAGTTCAAGGAATACAACTTCCACCATAACAGCGAGTATATAACAAATGGACGTAATTCACCTAAGACAATTGTCTTACTGCCTCTTGGACCAATAAAACATAGTATATCTTTATTGAATTTCAAATGTACATCATGTCTTAATTCTATTAATGGAACAATAGGAACTACGAAGTCGTCCTGTAAGTGACGTGTCTGTTAACATGTCGTCGAGATATACATAGAACAGTAAGTACATTGTGACGGTCAAAAAATCTATGTGTCAGTTAATGGCATCACACACCACTAAGACTGATGACATGATACCCAACACTTCAGTATAGGGCAATGAATTTGTCTCTCTCAGACAGAGGTTTTAGTTAACATTTGTTATAACCATTAAACATGTTCCAATTATCACGCGTTAAACATGTATATTGTTTATACATTTCTATTTTGGATAAGTGTTAGTATAGCTTACAATGATATATAGTGATTCCATAATCGTTTTAAATAATACACCTGCGTCACATAATATCACAACATACACATTTGTTAATCGGTGGTACAGAGGCATCCAGAAAATAATCACTAGACATACGTAAATATGAAGCACCCATTTGGCAAATAGAGCAGTTATTTTACATTTGTACGACACCATAAAACCATTTCGTAATCCATTGGTATTCAAGGTTACATTGTACCACATATCTATCATAAACTATGCAAACAACTACATTTGCAGTTAAACTGAGACCAGTAATTAGATAAAACAAATTGGTATATTTAAGTGAAAATAAAGGGCCAGTTCATCACCTTACTGAGGCGAACTCCCCTGAAATGTGTGCATACACTAGATCTACTTACACAATGACTGAGTCATCTTAACATTGAACATTTTCAATGCCTGTTTATTAAAAATACTTTGACACATTTAAATTAATTTGAAAATAAACTAGTTCCATCAAGAGCTACATGAACCCTGGTAAAATGATTTTTTCAAGTAGAATTGTAAATAAGTAAAAAATAAATTGCTTAATCTGGTACATTTTTCATTTTCATTAATCAGTATTGCTTGAATGCTTATCTTTTCCTTTGGTCGGAAACAATTTCTAATTTTATCAATATTAGGAAAGATCTATACAAAATGTGTTGCATTTCGCTACTCCCTCATGCTAACCAGTCTAAACAAATCCAAGAAGATAATTCAAAGTGTCGTTTGTTGACTTAGAGTTATCTCTCTTCTGACATTACAACAGGCTGACCAAACTGGGACATGAAACTATTGCACAAACTATAAAACTTTTCTTTTCCTCAATATAAATTTCATCATAATGCACTCATAACAAAATTATTAAAAAGTAATAAGAATGGTATTCACAAATTATGAAACGCTTTATCAATTAATAGAGATTATATCGGAAGCGATTCATCATAAACGTATCTGGAACTTATACATTTGTTAATATCAACGTTTCCCATATATATAAAAAGAAATTATCATTTCCAAACTTCAGCGTTTAGTCTGTGGTATCAAGAACATATCAAACAAAATTGTTTTCTCTTTCTCACCAAGTTACTCACATATCGATTTTTATTTCTCACGGTCACTGCCATTCGTTTCTATTGTGGCAGGTTTCAACTGTACATAGGATAAAGGTCGCCTTCTAGCTTCGAGCTAGGGGGAATTTCCCTTTAGCTCAGAGGTAGAGTGTCCGACTAGGAACCTGGAGATCGCGGGTTCGATCCCTGGTGGAAGCACACTATTCTCTTTCCTGTTACAAATGGTGACCGTGGCCCTCCCTGTGGTGACAGGGAGTTAGAACCTGGGTTGTGGTGTTCGAGGGCGAACGCATTTAAAAAGGGGGAGTAGTGTGGCAGGTTTCAATTGAACATAGGATAAAGGTCGCCTTCTAGCTTCGAGCTAAGGGGATTTTCCCTTAAGCTTAGTGGTAGAGCGTCCGACTAGGAACCTGGAGATCGCGGGTTCGATCCCCGGTGGAAGCACACAATTCTCTTTCCTGTTACATTATTTCCCCCCAGTTGTAACGAATTTGAGTTCACATTACTGTTTACTGACACTTTTGTTATTCTGTTGTAATTGTTTTCCCAAACTCTTCTCTAATGTATATTATGTTAGCTCATCCCCTCAATTCAACAGTGATTGTAAACTCTCCCAGTCACTGCCATATTGACTCGCGATCCGGTCAGCTATTCAAATTGGATGCCATTAATCGCTGTTTATGCAGAACTAAACTGATCATCTGTAAGCACAACAACCAGTATATCGGTTAACCCGACCATATGTCTTACAAACCAAAGCGGTATAGGATTGATCAATCAGCATCATATTTATTCTGCCAGGTGTGGATCTCTATAATGTTTATTATTCGTTTTATAAAGAAATTCTGTACTGGAAGAAAATATCTTAATGTGTAAAGCTATTTGATGTTTATATGCCAGCAGGTCTGGATAGTTTTACTCTTGATAAATGATGTAAGTAGTGCACCAATACATAAGTTGAAGGTTTAATATAGATAAAATGTAAATACACTTGAATGGAATTTACAAATTAAGAAGAAAAGATGTGATTTAAGTGTCGAGTCCAATTTGTTTATTAATTTGTTTTGTTTTGTACAGGCTTTCCCATTGGTAGGGCTTTGATACAGGCTTTCCCATTGGTAGGGCTTTGATACAGGCTTTCCCATTGGTAGGGCTTTGATACAGGATTTCCAATTGGTAGGCCTTTGATACAGGCTTTCCCATTGGTAGGGCTTTGATACAGGCTTTCCCATTGGTAGGGCTTTGATACAGGCTTTCCCATTGGTAGGGCTTTGATACAGGATTTCCCATTGGTAGGGCTTTGATACAGGATTTCCCATTTGAAGGGCTTTGATACAGGATTTCCAATTGGGATGGCTGTTGTGCAGTACTTCTCATTTGGTATGGCTTTGATACCGAACATCACATTGACTGGATTGTGATACAAACTTTTCTATCCTTTTTTTATATCAATGGTGGGTGTGGCACCCCTGGGGGCAGAGAAGTGGGGTCAAATAGTGGAAATAGGGATAAACCTTTAAAATTGTTCTTCTATCGTAGGGATTAAGGGATTTTATCCTCATTTGTTCTGGAGCATCCTTGGGTCAAGGGGACTCAATTTTGTATAAATTGTTGGTTTGGACCCCCTAGGGGCAGAAGGGCGGGGCCCAATAGGGCAACAGAGGCTAAACCTTTGAAATCCTTCTTTTAACGTAGGGATAAAGGAATTTTATCCTTATTTGATCTGGAGTATCCTTGGACCAAGGGCACTCAGTTTTGTATAAACGTTGGGTGTGGTCCCCCTGGGGGCAGATGGGCGGGGTCAAAAGGGGAAATAGAAGTAAACCTTTAAAATCCTTCTTCTACCTCAGAGATTTAGGGATTTCGTGATAGGGCTTTGATACAGGATTTCCCATTTGAAGGGCTTTGATACAGGATTTCCAACTGGGATAGCTGTTGTGCAGTACCTCACATTTGGTATGGCTTTGATACAGGATTTCCAATTGGGATGGCTGTTGTGCAGTACTTCTCATTTGGTATGGCTTTGATACCGAACATCACATTGACTGGATTATGATACAAACTTTTCTATTGACATGGTTTTCATACATAATCTCCAATTGATATGGCTTTGATACAGAATCTCCCATCAGCATACTGTTCAGCTGTTACAGTTGTTGATCAGGGAATCCGTGTGTGTGTGGTTCAGCATCAGGGGTAACTGAAGTATGGTATATAAGAAATAAGTGGTAGGCACCTTGATTCATACACGTGTCGTCTGTTACGGCACGATTTCTCAGCCCGGCACGATTTCTCACCCAGGTGAGAAATCGTGTTAGGGGTAGGTATATTACCCGTTGCCATGAGTACGGACACTGATTTTTATTTTGGGGGATTGTTGTATATTTAGGTTTGTTTATTCAGAAACTACTGCGCCAACTTCAAACTTTTAACTTGTTCGAACTTCAGTTTTTAGCTCACCTGGTCCGAAGGACCATGGTGAGCTTATGTCATACCGCAGCGTCCGTCGTCCGTAGACGACCCAGTAGATTT